TTTTTTTTTTTGTGGCTGCAGTGCCTGAAATTTCCCTTCAAGAATAAGAAATCTGGGGGCTGAGAAACCCCATCTGAGCCCAAAATCCACCCCTGCCCAAGGAGGGAAGAAATAAAAGTTGAGAAACTATTACTTTAGAGCCCCCACCAAAGGGGGGCAGCCTGCCCGGCTTGGGCTATATTGCATTTATTTTAAAGCTAAAATGGGGTTTGGTTGCCACACCTCTGGTCTGACAACAAAAACATCCGAAGTAAAGGAAAAAAGTCTGCTTCTGAAGCAATTTTTCTCTTTCCCTTGGGGTGCTCACTGCAGGGTGGGACATGAAGCAGTTCCAGGCAGCAAAAATTCCCTAAGGAAATTCCTGAAGGAATTTACGCCATGCAAGGAAAAAAAAAAAAGAAATCCTTAAAAAAATGCATATTTCTGTTCTGCTGTAACTTTTTTTCTCAAAAAAAAAAAATACACATTTCTCAGCTTTGGCTGAAAAAACTTTAGGGCTGCGGAGGCAGATTTTAAACTGCATTGCGGAGTCAAAGGGTTCTCTGGGATTTCTTCCCGCCCCTCTCCGCGTTTTTAGCACCTTCTCCAGCAAGCACCAAGCCCTTTTTTTTTCCTGAAAAAAAAGAAAATCTGGGACAAATGTTTGTCTTGGGGAGATGCGGTTATTTCTTTATCGCCCTTGATGAATGGGAGCCGCAGTTTCCCACCAGCCCCATTTCCTCCCCCACCACCTGAAAAAAAAAGGGCCCATTTTTAGATTTTTATACTCAAATTTAGGAAAAAAACATCCCCCGTGCACTCCCAGAGGTGTAGAAAAGCGTAAAAAACTACAATTATTGGGATGTTGCACAAGTCTGTGTAGATCTATGTATTCCTTAGGTAAAGGTTTAAGCAGATCTTAACCACTTCAAACTGCATAAAATTACTGCAGCTGCAGAAAGACTAAGAGACAAGAATAATATAATAATTAATAATATGTAATAATAAATATCAGTACAATTCCGTAAAATATCATAATGTAATTAAATATTTTTAAATAGGATGATAATATAATAACTTTTCATCATCCTACAGTCTTGTCATCAATAAACCCTTTATTCACCACGTGACAGGGTTTTCCACTTATTTACCCAAAAATTAAACGAAAAAAAAATTCTCTGCGTTGTTTATCTTTCAGAACTCTGCACTTTATTAATTGAATAAATTAATTTACCCAAATAAGCCGGGTGGGACCGGTTGCCCGTGGTCCAGACTGGCCATTTGCATCCTTTTCCAGTAGCAGCTATTTATGGGACATTCCCCCCGCCCCATCCAGCCCTTAGATAATCACTGCATCATGAGCGTGCTCATTAGTCATGCATCCTGATTCGCTGTCTCTAGGTTGGTCTCCCGGATCAAAACTCAGGAGTTGGATGGAGAACCATCAAACCACCAAACCTTCCCTGGTGGAATGAGAGAGGAGAAAAGCAACGAGCAGACCCATGGCCAAGGAGGTCAACCTCAAAGGAGCAAGACAGAAGATGACTTCCCAAGACTGAAAATCAAACCCAACGCCATCCCAGCCTTCTCTGGGGTGGTTTGCAATGTAACACCTCTCCGTAACAGGGCTGGAGACCTTCGTTTGGTGGACAATGTGTCCCGATGGAGACATGTCTCCTTGCTAAAAAGCTTGGGAGATGGAGTCAACGCGCGACCAGGTGCTGCATCTCGTGGGCGGAAAGGACAACCCATCCCATGTCGCTCCCCTCGTCAGCTCCTCTTCTGTCCACGGGTGGAGAGTTGAAGGTGCAAGAGCCCGGCCTGGAGATGCTCATCCCTGGGGAGCCCCGAGCAGCCGAAATGGGGCTTCCCGAAAAATCAAAGCCACCAGGAACGGGGTTTGGGGGAACTGGTTTTTGGGGGTGGGGGTGGGGCTGGAGAAGGGACGTGGTGAAGCAAGAGCCTCCTCATCGGGGTGCAGAGCCCATGGGAGGGTTGGGTTGAGCCTAGGAGAGATGACCCAGGATGGGAAAGGGGGAATCGCCCACCTAAAGGAATTAACACCCGGATAATATGGGTCCAAAAAGGGGGAATTTGAGTGCTGCAGGATGCCCGTTTTCCTCTGTCTTGCTGGAGAAAAGCCCTCCTCTTCCCTGAGGAGGGAAAACAAACAAATCCACCTTATCGCCCCTGCTCTCCAGGACCACCCCGCGGGTGCCAACTACCCTTTCTTCCCGAGATCGCCCATCTGATACATCCCTAATTCACCCATTCAGCTGGAAACTCTCCTGGGGCCATTCCAGGGCTGAGGGGAGGGGTCTGGGCCTGCTCCCCCCCCAACTCCCCCCTCCAGTCAAGCTAATAAAAGTCTGTAAAAGTCCTCCTGGTTGGATTATTTTCTTTTTTCAGGGGGGAAAAAAATTCACAAGAGCCACAAAGTTGAGGTTATTCCCTTTGTTTTCCAAGCTCTTTACTGTTTTCCCTGCTCAGGTGGGCAATGAACATTGAGATTATTTTTATTTTTTTTTCTTCCTCCTTTCTGGGGTTATCCCAGTGCTTAATTCCCCTGGGATGGGCGGCTTCCCCCAGACTTACCCCAGCAGCTTCAGCTCAGCAGATGCCTCAGAAGAAAGGACAGACTGCACCAAGGATGCCTACAACACCCCCTCACCGCCAAAAAAGGATCTTCTCCCCCCACCCCAAGGGGTTGGTTTGGGGCAGAGAGGGGCTGCACACACTCCCTTGGCCATGGCCGGCCCTGCCAGGCTCCCCAGTCTTCAAAAATATCTCAGAAAGCATCTCCCAGTGGGGAAAATCACTTTCCCACCCAACCTGGGCATCTCAAACATCTTGTGGCATCTCCAGACGTCCCACCCTGCACTGCTCGGCCAAGAGGAGCCCTTGGCCCCTTTGGAAGCGGAGGAGATTTCCCACAAGGACCAACCCCAACCTTGCCCATAGCTCTGGTCCATCCAACAGGTCACCAACACGCAGTCAGGGCGGGCGGCCACGGTGAACCTCGGACCCTTCCAAGGCTGGTTGGTGGTCACGCACAGCACCCCAATGGTGACCTCTCCCAACGGCTGCACCCACCTCCTGCCTGCAGCCGGTCCTCTCTTCCCGCCTCCGCTGATTCGGGTCTCGAGGAATCATTTTTGCGGCCAAAGCGAAGATGTGTGTGGAGGAAAACCCTTCCAGAAGCTCCTGCTGCAGGAACATCATGTTTTAACGGTTGCACTTGGGGCACGACCAACCCAAACCGTTAGCGCGGACTGTGTAAAATCCCAGAACACCCAAGACTTTCTTTTGCTGATGGCTTTAAACTCTTTTTTTTTTTTTTTTCCCATCCTAGACCTTGTGCCTGCTCCGGCCCCACAGCTTTCACCCACTTCCTCACAACTCTTCCTGATCGCCTCCTTCTTCACCGAAAAGGCCATAAATTTCAGTTTGTCATCCCAGCAGCAGACGGGGCTCAATTGCCCGACTGCTCCCTTCTTATTGCAACAGCCCCTCTAAGCAGAAAGAGACCTTCTGCTGATCTAAATTAATAAAAAAACAGGCATTTTGGCATATTTTCTCACTAGCTCCATGCCCATATTACGTCACAGCTCTTGGGTATCCAGACCAGCTCTGGCTGTCTTGGACACTTAGCAAAAATAGGGAGCATGAACCAGTTGCCCCGAATTCAGCTCGGTTTGGGACATTGGTTGGATTCAGGCACATCCATCGGATTCTTCATGGTTTTTTGGGTGGTTTTCCCATGGGGACACGATGGGTAGAGGTTGCTCCAGGGTGGGCAGCTGGTGGTACCCATGGCCAGCACCTTGGGGCCACGCCAAGATGCTCCACAGGACGGGGTGAGCGTGGCACAGGACAGGGTGGGGATCAGACCCTTAGGTGGGCAAACCCAGATCTTTGCAGGGATTCAGGAGCATCAGGGATGGAGGGAAAGCTGAGAGGAGACTGCCCCATCCTGGAGAACAGGGATGCAGGAAGAGCCCCCACCCCAGGAAGTGAGGATGGGGACAGGGTGCGACATTTAACGCCGAATTCAGCAG